TCTCATTAAATTTAACATTTAGCTGTCTTGCCCTATCAATGACTCTTTTTAAATTCATATCATGTTGCTCCAGTGTTTCCCCAAAAACCAACAAATCATCAAAGTAAACTAAGCACCCTGGCAAATCACCAAAATTTTCTTGATTTAATTTTTGAAAAAATTCTGGAGCACAATTAAGACCCATTGGCAATCTGTTAAATTTATATGCTCCAAATATTGTACTAAAAGCACACAATTTACTTGATTCTTTTTCTAACTCTACTTGATAAAATCCATCCTTAAAATCTAGTACAGTAAAAATTGATTGATTTTTTAATTGTGTTCTTATTTCATCTAGTGTTGGTATAACACAATATTCTTTTTCTAATGCCAAATTTAAAAACTTTGGATCTAAACATAATCTTAGTGACTTATCACTTTTTTCAACAATTACCAAATTGCTCAACCACTCCATAGGCCCTTCACATGGAGAAATCACACCTCTCAGTGTTAAACTATCTAGCACTTCCTTTATTTCTAATAGCTATTGGTACCCTACGTGGTGGTTTAGCAACTGGCAATGCATCTTTTTTGAGTTTAAGGATACATTTTTTTTTTAATTTTCCTAATCCTGAAAACACATCAATATTATTTTTAACAAAATCCTCTTTATTATCATATGTTATACTATCAACCCTGGGTAAAATTTTTAAATCTAAACATGATGGAAGACCCAATATTGGTGAGCTTTTATTTCCCTCTACAATAACAAATTTGAGGCTATGAATAATATTATTGACCAAACAATTTAAATGTACAATACCCAATGGAACAATTTTGAATCCTCCATATGCTTCCAAAATTATTTTACACTTTTCTAAGCCTATGTTTTTATCAATTTTATCCAACATATGATTAGGTAAAATGTTGACTTGTGACCCTGTGTCTATTTTAAAGTCAATATTTACACCTCCTACCTGAATAGTTTCCATCCATTCTTTACTATTCTTAATTTCATTAATAGATATTGTTGCAATCGTCATGTCATCTGCATCCATATTATTACTAATGTCAGTTTCTATTACCTCTCTGACTGTCCTTGAACCACTGCTGCTAGATCCATTTGACATATTGCGGCACATTCTTTCCCAATGCCCATACCGCCAACACCTCTTGCATTTTTGACCATATGCGGGGCACTGCCTAACTCCATGACGGGTTCCACAGCTCTTACAATTGAATATTTCCTGATTACCACTACCACTTTTACTTGTGCTTTGTTGAATGTTTCTATCTGATCTTTGATAACTCTGATTGTATTTTACAGCCTCTATTTTTCCTGTTAACTGTTTCTCAACATTTTTCAGTTGTAATTTTGACACCTCACTAGCTCGACAAATATCCACAGCATCTTTTAAAGTTAGCTTCTTGGGAATGAATAATTTTTCTCTCAATTCTTTGCTGTTGATTCCCATGACAATCCTATCACGTAAAGCTTTATCTATTTCAGACCCAAATTCACAAGACTGTGCTAATTTTTTTATATCTGTATAAAAATGATCAAATGCTTCACCCTCTTCCTGATTGCGAGTATAAAAAACAAATCTTTCAAACATTTCATTTCTTTCTGGTACACAGAATGCTTCTAGTTCATTTAGTACTGTTTGAAAATTACCCTTTTGGACATCTGAAAGTTTTAAAGTGTTTATAACCTCAACTCCTTCTTCACCTATTAAATTTAAAAGAATAGCAACCTTCATTTTGTCTGGCTTTGTGTCCTTTTCAGAGGCAATCAAGTAATTTTCCAAGTTTTGCTTAAACTTCCTGAAATGCTCTGCTATATTGCCCTCAAATTTTATCGGATTTGGCAGCCTCACCTCCATCTTGTATTTTTAATTATAATAGGTCTTACAAAGTTATTTTTGACTTTACCTTTAGTGAAACTTTGTAACACAACAAATGTGATTTTATTTTCCGTTTGACTGCGCCATGTTGTATTAGTAATAAACGTAGGCTTTTTAAATTTTTATTAACTCTTTTATTTAAGAACCATTACAATATCGGCATGGCACGAAGTGTCAGCCTTCATTTATATGTCAACCAACATCAAACATAAAACTAATATGACATCTAACATAAAACATAAAACTAATAGAATAGAGTATAGACTTAAAACTAAATATATGACAAAAACAACAAATTATTTGCCATGAACTCTTTCTTCAAGAAAAAGCCACATAGAAAATGGACGTAGATGTCGCCAGATGGGAACCTTAAAAATGAAATTGACTACAGACTAACAAACAAAAAGAACATTTTTGAAGACGTCACAGTAATAAACTCAATCTCTACTGGTAGTGATCACAGAATGATACAGGCTAAAATAAGTATTAAACACAAAAAAGATCGAAGACAATATGTACACTCTAAGAAAAAAGTCCACCCAGAAAAATTAAAGTAAAATAAAGAACAATACCAAAACAAATTAAGAACAGCTGAAGAACTAAAGCTAACAGACCTAAATCTAGATCAACTAAACAAAGCCATCAATGAAGAACTTCTAAAGACTAGCTTAGAAGTAGCACCAGCAAAATCAAAACTAAGTGCCATATCTTTAGACATGCTACAACAACGGAGAAGCCTACTACAAGAAAATAAAAGAAATACAACTGAATACAAAACCCTTAATGCAGAAATAAGAAGACATATAAAACAAGATCTCAAACGGCATCAAGAAGAACGAATCGAGAAGATTATAGAAGAAAATAGAAACTTAAGATCTATCAAGACCCACCTAGGAAGAAATAAAATCATAGAGATGGAAAATAAACAAGGTGTAATAGAAAAAAGCAGAATTCAAATATCTAAGATAACAAATGAATACTATAGTGACCTTTACAGCTCTAAAAACAGTCCACCTGATACAACTCAACAAAACCTGAAAAAGAAAATAATGAATGTAAACTCTGAAATATTCCCCCCATAACCGGAGAAGAAATAGAAAAAGCAATTACAGATATGAAAATAAATAAGGCTTGGTAGGCAAATACAATTCTCAAAAGACTGATATGTTTTTTGTACACACTTATGTGTGTATATTTTAAATAATTCCTAGCTGAGCGCTTTCGGCTTTACAAAGCCATCATCGGAGCTATGGTCAATTTATAAATACCACTACAATGGAGAGATCTCATTTCCTTATATGTCGAAATATTGATTTTTTATTTGTTAAAATTCTTAAAAAAACATATAAAAAACATATAAAAAACCGACACTGGACTTCACAGACACATTAAAAAATTGAAAAATTGTTTGTCATGGTACGGGTGTAAGAACCCGACCATTGATTGCTGTGAGGAGGTAGACAGAATGGCTTTTAAGAAACAAGGGCTCAAATTGTTTAACAATAATATAAAGAAGAAACATGGTATTAATGTTACATTATCTGATACTTGAGTGTATTGAGAATTGTATCTCTTGATGGAAATTTGTAAGAAATTTGCATAATTTTTTTTTTATAAAGAATATATTTTCATGTTTCAATTAAGTCTATTCTGTCTACCTCCTCACAGCAATCAATGGTCGGGTTCTTACACCCGTACCATGACAAAAAATTTTTCAATTTTTTAATGTGTCTGTGAAGTCCAGTGTCGGTTTTTTATATGTTTTTTATATGTTTTTTAAGAATTTTAACAACTAAAAAATCAATATTTCGACATATAAGGAAATGAGATCTCTCCATTGTAGTGGTATTTATAAATTGACCATAGCTCCGATGATGGCTTTGTAAAGCCGAAAGCGCTCAGCTAGGAATTATTTAAAATATACACACTTCAAAAATACTTTTTTACCTTTTCTTTTGAAATACAATTCTGATATATAAGAAAGGAAACAGATCAAAATTAGCTAGCTATAGACCAATATAGCTCTTGTCACAAATCTATAAAACTTTCACTAAGGTGATCAAAACTAGACTAAACAACAAATTCTATGCATATCAACCAGTTGAGCAGGCAGGATTTAGAAAGGGGTACAGCACAACTGACCACCTTCACACTCTTAGAATATTGATAGAAAAGTCCAACGAATACAACCTTCCAATATACCTAGCGTTTGTTGACTATGAAAAAGCGTTTGACAGCATAGAAATATGGGCAGTGGAAGAAGCGCTAGTTAATTGCCGAATAGATTCACGGTACAGAATGTTAATCCACAATATATATCAAAATGCCACTATGATAATTCAGCTAGACAGAGATTTGCAAACTCCATTAATTAGAATTTGTAGAGGTGTCAGACAAAGGGATACAATCTCACCCAAACTATTTACTTTGGCGTTGGAAGACATTTTTAAATATATAGACTGGGACAATAGGTATCACCAAAGAAAAATACGAACAGTTATTAAAGCTTTGCCAGTGGATCCCGGTGCAATTTCATAATTTCTACCAGCAGTTGCCAATTTCAAAGCAGCAAGCAGATGACAGTGACAGCGACAACTAAAGTAAAAATATTTAGGTTGTATATTTTTTCTACTTAACGAGATTTTTTTTTGTTTCAAACATTGTGATATACTTTTTGCATTTTTAAACACAGAATATAATATTTTTTCATCACTTACGATTTTTATTTTGCATATTAATTACCTGTTTAAAGACATAGAGGTAAAAAGTTGTAACTCCCAATATCGTACACCAAGTAAATAATTTCTTAACAATACTAATATCTAGTAATAAATTTCCATTTACATAGTGTAATGTACCAATAATGTTGAATTCAATAAAATGGAAGTACAAAATTTTTTATAGTTTATTGACTAGTCTCTATGTTTTGCGCTTTCCTGCAAATGTATACTTTATGGATATATGACTGTTTACCTCCACGGTACAGATATATATATATATATATATATATATATATATATATATATATATATATATATATATATATACCAGAAATAATTAAATAATAAAGTGTTAGGCATCTTCATGGCTTCACGAATTTAGATAAAAAATTCTTACCTAACAAGATTTGGATGCCGGACATACAATCTTCCTCGTGTCTGACCATACCCTAACACTTTGTTGGCTCTCGCCCCCATTATAAATAACGTATTAGCTCGAAGTCTATCTGGATTCCATTTAGGACCATCCCGTTTCCACGACAGCTTGCAACTACTGTAATCAGTGGAGTGTGTAGTTTTGTTTCTTGGTTTTTTAGTGGGCACTACAGGTGATGGAATGATTTCAGCATCTGGATCACAATCTTTTCTTTTACAGCATATTATGGGGCTCTGTAAATGGATCAATTTAAATGTTAAACATTAAATGATTAAAGAATGTTAAACAAATAAAAACAACATTGTTAGTACATATGAGATATTAAAAAAATATTTTTCGATTATTATTATATTATTTACAAAGTAAAAGTTATTTACAGTGGAAAACAACTTACATTCATTCCCATTCTAAGATCAGTCAGACTGGCTTCAGACTCTCCTTCACTTTGGTAGCATTCGTAAGGTGAATTGTCCCTAGAATGTGGACTCACTTTATACATAAGTTTAGCTTCTTCCAGCATTGTTTTGCAAACTTCTTTGATGTGGTCATCTCCTACACTATCCTTTCCCACATTGTTTCTTATATTATTAATAGCAGGTTGAAAAAATTTCTAAAACATGAGTTTTAAAAAAATATTAATGACCTTACAATATGTTAACAAAACCTTATATAAACATTCTCCATATTTTTATGACAAGGTAATAATCGATCATGAGGGTCATAATCTATCCAATCAATAGTATAGTGATATTGTATATTTTGGATCACTCTGATTCTCAAGAATAATACATGTAAAAATAAAATTCTACAAAGAAAAATGTTTGCGAATTTACATGAAATATTTTGTATTTACATTCACCCATCTACACCACTCCCACACTTGTAGTAAAGAACAAGTTGCTTGCAAATACTTATTTTTGAAGCAAGAAAAAAGAAATCATTGACTATGTATTTTGAGAGGCTTTTTAATATACCTGCTATTATAAACTTAACATACTATTACAAACCTCGATATATTTTTTCAGTACATTGTCTATATCCTTATTAATGGCATTTTGAAGATTCTTTCTTAAAATATCCAGTGATTTGGAGGGACTTGTAACACTATATGCTCTTCTGTAAGAAGGTATCATTGACTTTGCTCCATTTTTCATTGCTAATTGACTAGCAGCAAGATTCATTAGACTTATTTGTCTCATATTAAAAGTGTTTTTCTAAAATAAAGAAAAATATCTTTTAATCCTTGAATATCATCACGGGAAGAATACATTTGTACATTAAATACTATTATTATCACATAATCTAAAAAGACAGAAAGGACAGCAGGACTGAAGTTGCTTTAAGAGCACCTACTAAAATATAGAATGGACATTGCAGCCGTTCAAGAGATGTGATGGACAGGAACGATGTTACGGAACGACAGGTAAAGTGACAACATAAATTGGCAGTCTACTGCAGCATGTTACACAGATTAATAGAAATTCCCATTCCCATGTCCCATGTCCCAAATATCAGTAAACAATGGGTACAAAGAACAAACAATAAGTAAAATTTTAAATCAAAAACTACATAAGAAAGCTCTAAAATATGTATTTCCACCAGCAGAAAAAAAAACCCAGTACCTTCTGCTCGATTACATACACAGGCAAGATATCAACAAAAATAGCCAAACAAAAAAAAAAGGAATAACACCAGCTTTAATAACAAAAAACAACTTAGGCAAATATATTAAGAATATCAAGAGCCAAAAGAAAAAGCACTTACACAGTGGTGTATACAAGCTTAAATGTGGCGACTGCTCAATAAAACTTACATCAGTCAAACTGGTAGAACTTTTAACAAACAGATAGCAGAGTACAAAGGGGTTTCAATAATATAAAACAGATTCTACATATGCACTTCACCTTCTATACCATAATCATTCACATTCAAAATAAAGGCCTTAACCTATCTTTATTAGAATCTATGGAAATTAACAAATTAAAAAATACAGATATAATTCTGAATCACCAACTTAAGACCAACAGTTCTCCCCTCCCCAACTTATTTAGCTGAAGACTGTAAAGTGTAAATGCATGCCAAAAATAGATCACTTGAGAAATGCACTCTGCTGAAATAAATGTATGTAGTGATAAAAAATTATAATAAATTTTGTCGAAGTTTTGAAAACAAAGGTTTTCAGTGTTTTATTGCTGGATATTGTCAAACATCTAGCATGAGAGATTGAAGCCTTATACTGAAGCATTCAACTAGAACAGTATGTACCATCTTTTTGCTGATTTTAAAGTGACTTATAACAGTGTCATAAGACCTAGTCTTTACAACGCTATGAATAAGTAACTAATTACAAAAAAAACTCATATGCATGACAAATGTGACAATGGCCAAGACGCTACCAGCAGTAAAAATTCAAAATGACACGTCAACCCCATTTGAAACACATAGGGGATTAAGGAAGGGACACATGCTGGCGTATCAGCTTTTTAACAAAGCCTTACAAAAAGTTGTACGAGACGCTTATTTAGAAAGCAGTGAATATTATAAAAAGAACCATGGAAGTCCTAACCACACTAGTAGCAGCAGTAGCAGAACGAATGATATTACATATAAATTAAAATAAACAATTTCATGCCAACTAACAAAAACACAAGAGCTGGAAATGTTGATACAGATCTAATTGTCAATGACTAAAAACTTTGAAGCAGTCAAACAGTTCATATATCTAGGGACATAGGTTAATATCACATCAGGGGAAATAAAAAGACAAATTATAGATAGAGAGAACACTGATAGTCCCCATTCTCACATAAGGATGAAATGCATAGACAATAACCAAAACAGATGAATCCTCTCTATTGATTTTTTAATGAAAGGTACTACGCAAGATATTCTAGAGTGGACTGTGAAAATGGAATATGGAAGCCTAGGTATAACTTTGAACTGCAAAATATCTACAAGCATCAGGATACTGAGAAGAACGATGCTACCAACTGGAAAATCCAAGCAAGGGATAGAGCAGAATGGCACAGAAAACTTGAGAAGGTCAAGGCTGTATAAGGGCTATAGCACTGTGATGATGATATCTAAAAAGATAATCAAAATAAATATCTTTTTTAATTACTTTAAACTTAATTTATGATAAATATAAAGTAAAAAATAACACTTTTATTTAAAATATTAGATTGACAGACATGTTTTGAGATACCAAAAAGACAAAGCAAATCTCATCGTAGGTCATATTTCACCTGTTACCATATTTCAAGTCTAGCTCTTAGCAAGCTATACAGTATACACATTTCAATTTACTGCTTTTGAATTTCAATTCAATACTACTTCAATTTTATCACTACTTTTAGTTTTTAGGAAAAATGATTAGAAAAATAAAATATTTTTGTTTAAATTTTATAATAAATAAATTTTGTGAAAGTGATGAAAACAAATGTTGTTTCAGTATTTTATTGTTAAATAAAATGAATTTCTATCAACTAACAGTCGAATCCATCATTTATTTAAATTTCTAGGGTCATTTTAGTTAAAAGGTATTCCATTTAACTGTTTGCGATTATTGTCATGGAATACATGACACCATTACAACTAGTATATATTTATTAACAATTTTGCCCACAGCATGTCATACATGAAAATTGTGAAACATGGATTTAGTTGTTGGCATCTCTACAATGTTGTGAATATAGTCTAGTATAAGTCTTATAACTAGTTAACCATTCCATAGATGAAAATTTTGAAAAATAAAAATAACTGAAAAAATAAAAAATAAATGAAAAATAACAAAAGACTGAGACAAATAGAGTGCCAAAAAGAAACATGGACAATGGAAGAAAGATGGTACTTACAGTGAAGTATTAAAGACAACAGCAACTGAAGTGTGTGGAATCAAAAAATATAATAAACAGTTGAAAAGGACAAGATGGTGGAATAAAGAAGTGCAGACAGAAATAAAAAAGAAGAAAATAGCATGGAAAAAATGCATCGAAACAGGATTAGAAGAAGATAAAGGAAAATACTATAGGCAGAGACGATTGGTAAAAAAGACAGTCACACAAGCAAAACCAAAAACATGGAAAGAATTTAGAGAAGAACTTCAGGAAGAATATAAACAAATAATAGAATCTTTTGGACGACAATACGACACATAAGGCAAGGAGAACGAAAGGAAATAAATGCAGTAAGAGATACTTCAAACCAAATACAAATAAGCCCAGAACAAGTAGCTAAGGTACGGAAAGAATATTATGAGAAAAAATGTGATACCGAAGTGAAAAAGGAAGACAATATAAACAATGAAGGCAAAGAAAACACAGAGCTAGAGCAAATAAGTAGAGGAGAAGTAATAGAAGGATTATCAAATATAAAAATAGGCAAGGCAGGTGGAGATGATGAAATTGAACCAGAAATGGTAAAATACATGGGAGAAGAAGGAATAAACTGGCTATGAAAAATATATAAAGAGGCGTGGGAAAAACAAACAATTCCTAAAGACTGGCAGAAGAATATCATCATGCCAATATACAAAAAAGGAGAACATGTAAACTGCAACAACTATAGAGAAATATGTCTGTCATTGGTATGCTTTAAAATATATACGAAAATAATAGAGAAGAGACTGAGACAAGAAGTACAAATGGTATTGGGAGAACAAACAGCATTTAGACCGGGAAGACAGACAAATGACAACATATATCATTAGAAACCTAATCGAAAGAAGCATAGATACAGGGGAAAACTAGTATTAGCATTCATAGACCTAAGAGCAGCATTTGACACGATAGAAAGACATATTATAGGGAAATGCTTGAGAAAAATAAATATGTACCTAATGCATTGATAAAAATTATAGAAAGTACTTACAAAGAGGTAAAAGGAAGGGTACAAATAACAGGTGAAAGATTGGAAGCATTTAATTGGAAGAGAGGTATTAAACAAGGAGATAGTCTCAACCCTTTGTTATTCATAATTGTAATGAACGAATTTATACAACTACAGACAATAATAGGTTACCACAGATTACAACCGGTAACAATAGAGTCCTTAATGTATGCAGATGACATAGTACTAATAGCAGATTCTGAGAATAAAATGCAGAAACTAATGGATATATGGGTAGAACAAATAGAAGAACTAAAAATGGAGATAAACAAGGAAAAAGTAAGATAATGATAATCAGCGGCAAAGGAGATCAGGAAGATAATCAAATAAAGATAAAATGTAAAAACTCAGAATTGGAAATAGTAACAGCTTATGAATACCTGGGAAGTATAATAACTAATGATGGAAAAATAGACTGGGAAATAACAAATATAGCAAAGAAATCAAACAAGTTATACTATGTGTTAGCCCCAATAATGGGAAAAAGAGAACTTACACGAGAAACAAGAATAAAAATATATAACACAATAGTGATACCGACTGTGCTCTGTGCAAGTGAAAACTGGACAATTCTGGAAAAATATAAGAGTAGGATAAACGCAATGGAGATGAGAAATGTAAGAAGGATAGTTGGAAAGACAAAATGGGGTAGATTAAGCAACAAGACTATTAGGAGAATGGCCAACCAGGAACCGATAATGAACAAAATAACAAAAAGATAAATGAACTGGTATGGGCATCTGATGAGGATACAATCCAATAGAATAACCAGAAAAATTTATGAAGCAAAAAACATCGGAAAAAGAAAAAGAGGCAGACCAAGAAAAAAATGGATACAGCAAGTAGTAGAGGCAGGAAAACTTAAAAATCACTTGAGGAATTGAAAATAATGGCAGGAAACAGAAGAGAAGGGGAGAAAGAAAGAAAGAATTGTTCAGTAGATTTGGTTGAGAATTACCCATATCAGTTTTTCAGGTAAATGTTTTGAATGTATTTATGTTTGACTGTGCTTGTGCTACACATGCTTCCATTTCAATTAAAGAGAAGTGTTTATGTGGAGTTCTATTAATTTTATAAAGAACGCATTATTATTTTTAACATGAGTAAAAGAAAATATTTAACTCTGAGTTAGAGGCCCTAGTATCTGAAATAGGTGACAACTTCTGATATGGATACTAATATTATAGAAAATGCAGTAGATTCAGACTGGTCTGAAGATGAGATGTGCCTTAAGGAAATTTTAGAATCAGATAGTTCTGCTGTTAATTAACCATTACCATTATAGATGTTGATTGTTGGGAACTATGGGAGGATAATCAATTGAGATTTAAAAGTTTTCTGTTAACCAAAGACATTGGATACTGTCTGCCCAGGTTAAATAAACCAATATCAGAACTAGATTTTTTTCAACTGTTGCAAGCAATTGTAGATGTAAAAAATAGGTCAGTTATTTTGATTATTTTAATTTGTAATTATCTACCTATTTTGATTTTAGATATGCACTTGACACAATTATAATGAATACACCATTAACTAGAAGCCTAAATGTGTAATGTGTACGTTATTGAGTCTATAAAGATACACACTTTTGCTATTACAACATAAAGAATGTCCCCCTGAAATTTCCTTTTTGGCTTGTAGGTGATTCTTAAGTGTTAATTAATTATTATTAACATTTGTGAGTCCCTACATATTTTAATTGAGCCTAAATTATTCACAAATTGAATTAAAATAATTACCTTTAGAATAAATGTCTAACCAAGTACACTAAGTAACTGGTCTAACTTAAATAAAATAGTATTTAAATAGCCCTAGCTTCTTGATTATATGTGACTGTGACTCTTTCAAAATATAATATAGATCAGTAAATATATGAAAATCTTATTAATGGGACTGTTAGAAACTAGAAGTAACTTGGGCTAATGTTAAACATAATTCAGGCACTTGTTCTAACAGACAACTAATATAGTAGGCATTTGATTCATCAGAATAGATATTTTAAGTCAAATTAACTGACTTACTAGGTCAATAATTAAGTTTAACAAATAGCATAAGGTCATTCATCATATTTTCACCATGTAAAATTAATACAAATATGATCAATACAAATATGATAAATACTCAAAGTTAAATACTTAAATGACTGAAGCCCTTCGAGCTAGTTACATAATTGGAACAAAATTAGATCCTAAAGCCAAAGGATTACCATGGTAATTAATATCTGGACCCCTATGTGAGATTTATTCTAATAAACCACCAAAATCTAATTACCCAGTGAGGAGATTAGGGAGTTTACTAAGAGGTAGTATAGATATAGTATAAATAGAAAGTTACCCATCCAACCATGTTTAAGTTTTCCTCTGTTTGCCCAGGAGCAACAGGAGGTATCATTTTTGCTTGTTCCGATATTTTTTTAAAATGAATTACACATCTATTCAAATATAAATTTATAAATGCACTTTTTTGTTCTTTTTACTGCACAATAATTAAACTGATAAGTATCTCAATTATTAATAATATTTAAGATTTTTTAATTTTTGATATCCAACTTTAGATATTAGGATGATTTAAATGCTAAAGGAAATTTGTTTGTGTCCTTTTCAATTGTCAATGTCAGATGTCAATAGGTAGCTTTTGAGAATCAGTAGTAAACGTCAAATTCTACGTCATGCACCTCATATTTCTAAATCATAACGCACCCTCAATCTCAATTAATTGCCGTTTGCTCATATTGTCACGTTAAGTAATATAACCGAATAAACATATATAATTTTTCTATAGAATAACCTAAAATGAAACTACAGATATAAATGCATAATACCCAATGACGTATAATATATAGACTCGGTGAACGCTTTAAAAAGTGTCCAAAACATGAATACCTTTGTTATTGTTTATTGTTTTGATACGAAGATACACGAAGTTCATGATTTCTTACGAAGCATCACGAAGTTGATCTTGTGTTTGAAAACATCATGGACGTATGAAAGCATTTTCTCCATTTTGTGTGACAAGCAAATTTTATTTTAAATTGTTGAGAGTTATTTACTTACTATTTTAGTAAAATGCCATACTATTTTATCAAAATAATTATTTCTCTTATAGATGGGACAAAAAGAAATCATAAATATTTAATTTTAATTAAAAAAATAATTATTGTCATTAAAATATAAATGAACACGCCGCTGTTCTAATAAACATACCTTCAACCTTGAGCCGAGATCTTTCGGACACTTGATTCTATAGCGAGAATAGGGGACTGCGTAGTCTATATATTATACGTCATTGATAATACCACTAACTTTTTAGTACCAGGTACTTTCCAGAAAATGCCACAAAAACGAGAACGTGTTCAAGCTGAAAAATCTTTCACAGCTGATTGTCAAAAGAATGTCATTTAAAAATAAATCATTTTTGTTATTAGAAATTATCTGATTGATTTAACAAAAGTAGTATTTGTTTGAAAGTATTCGTTTGGTAAGATATTATTTTTCAATTATCATAAGGGCCAAACCGTTTTTGTACATTGCAAAATGTCTTATTTTTTGTAGTAGGTATCTACATATTAGCAAAAAAAATTAAATGAAATTGTACCTAGTAAAAATGTTGGGTTTGGGTAAAAGGCAAACCTTTTAATGTAACCTGGTTCACATGATAAGTATTTTTTCTTAATTTTTCCTTGTTTATTTTAACTTGCCATATATTTGTCTTGGGTAAATTTGTTATATCTTAAGATTCCTTAGTAAGGAATGTGTTTTCTATAAATGTATTACCAATGTCAATTATTTCTTTGTGTATTAGTTTTGTACCTAAATTTTAATCTTTAATATTGAACCGTTACTACTAACTTTTTTCTGAAATACTTCAATGATAGGCTATACTTTTAGCAATTATATTATACCAGTTTTCCTTAGTTGCAATGGTTGTTAAGATTTAAGTACTGCTGCATTTTTAATTTGGGAATTTCAGTGTTTCATAACTGCCCTCATTATGTCATAAGTAAGGATCAAGTGTTTATATTAGCCTTCTTGTTGAAAACTTCCATATTATATTTCTTGCTGTTTTGTTTAAACATGTGTCAATTCTACCCTTTATATGGATACTTCCAAATCTCATTTTCTTCACTTTTTGAACAAATGTACTTCTCAAATTTCAGTTAATGTTTGCAATATATTTGATTATTGTTGAAATATGCAGTTCCCTGTGGGTTTATTTTATTTAATGTATTCCTGGGAATTAACCATAATTTAAAAGTTGTAACTGCTTTTTGATATTGTGGCCTCTAGTTTATAATCTGTTTTTAACATACTGTTAAGTTACTGTTAAGTTAACATACTGTTAATATATCTGGTTATTTATTTTTAGGTAATTTAATTTTTTTACGTCATATTGACAATTTTAGGCATTTTGCATGCATTTTAAACAAGACTAATTTTTTATGTTGTTAGTATATTTAAAGTGTGTTTTTAGAACAACTTTGAAATTAGTTTATTTTATTATATAAAATAACTTGTATGGCTCTATAGAACAAATTTATTCATTTGCAAATATAAAAGGATAAATTTAATAAAAAAAAATAACCAATTTACCAAGCAGACATATTAAATAATTACAACATAATAAAGTAACATTACATTTTTCTGTGGGTACAGCGATTAAGAGCACAAAATCGTGAGGAATGGAGGAGTTTAAGGGAGGCCTATGTCCAGCAGTGGACGTGATAAATAGAGGCTGGATGATGATGATGATGATGACAGCGATTAAGTGAAGCACATTGTGCTTTAACTAACCTTAAACTCCAAAAACTCATGTAATTACAGATATCAAAAATTCTAATTATATTAATAATTATTTCTTATACTTTGTGCTGATATACCACTAGCTTACAAAACAATTCGCCAATACTCCAAATCAGAGGCTTCCTCAAAAGGCTTATATAAACAGAACGAAATGTTCTGGAACCTTACTGCGTGGCGAGAGCATCCGAGCATCAATAGAAATGGTGGGTGGAATATTTCTAGCAGTGAAGAGAAAACGCTCAACTTTGCTAAAGCACAGAGCCAAAATCAGAGCCTATGCAATGTGACACAACAGGAACAATACAAAAAATATAACAACAAAAGAGTTACCAAAGTTACAATAGTTCCCTTATGCTTTGTCTAAATGAAAATTTCATTCCCATTTAGAATCAACCTCTTTATTAGAGAATATTTAACAAAATTACTCTGATGTAACTTGATTGCAAAATTTGGGATAATCTAGCTAGTCTAGAAGGGACATTAAAATCAATTAGATATAGAAGATCAGTGAAATATTTTCTGGAATTCAGTAGTTTTTTGCAAAAATATAATATTGGCATAAGTGATCAGAATTCTCATTTGCTCTTCTTCTGGTTTGGCTTTTATTTGATTGGTGTCTTGAGTCTACAATAGCATGATCTATGTAGTTACTGTAAGTCTGTCTGGTGATTTATTGGTGCCTTTGTGTTTACTTTGTTGAGCGAAGTTAAAATTATACAATTGATTCCAAAAAAACTCATGAAAAAAAAGTCGTTTATGAAATCAGAGCATCAAAAATATTTTAAATTCATTATTTCTCAAGCACCAAATTTTTTCATTTTGCTGGGCTGTGTTATCATTCCTGTTCTATATCATGCAAGTTAAATGTTTACTCTAGTTCTTCCTTTGACATAATTGTTAGTTTTTTATCGACATTTATAAAATGAAAGTAGTTACTTTGTTGTGTATTTGCTGCAATCTGCTGATACAGCCGATGATTCATCTGTGCTGTCTTTATTTTGCTGTGTAAACACAGTTCCACATATTGGCAGGACATTGATCAATTCTGTTATTAAATAGACTTCTCGATTATTTGACACTCAAGTATATTAAATTTTTCTCAGAAATAAACTTCGAATCTTGATAACTGCGTTCCGTTCTGTTTACTCCGTAATACATAGAATCAATTGCAGGGAGCATTGTATTTGTAACAATATGATTCATGTATTGCATGACTCAATGTATAACTTCTTCCAGATAAACACATTGACATGGTTTTAGAAGACATTATGTACATACAGACCAAACAAGCATCTGCGGTTGCTAGTACTCTTTCTATCATATATATATATATATATATATATATATATATATATATATATATATATATATATATATATATCGCTGCTCTAGAAGAACAATGACGTAACTGACAAAATGATAATTGTTCTGGAAACGAAAAAAACCGAAAGTTATTTTTTAAAAATGCCATAATTCAAAAGTTAATTTCTCTATTGAATTGGGACTCGGGCAAATTGTTACAATAAGGTTCACACCAAAGTTCAAAACATTTTTTTTGTTAAAATTCACCCCGTGCCTCCACGATCACCCCCCTTTAGCAAATGCGTTATTGTTCTCCTAAAATTAATGAGTCAAAATAACAAATTCTGACAAAAAAGGAAAGGGGAAAAAAGTAGTTCTTGATAACAATTTGATTGCTGTCTAGGTGCCGTTTCACATGTAGCCGACGCCGACGGTCAGTGCTGACCGTCAGTGATGATGAATAAATGCATTGCATTGCACAGCTGATCATACGCAAGGCATGTGAAATGGTTAGTTTGCGCTAATGCATTTAATTTATCATCACTGACGGTCAGCGCTGACCGTCGGCTACATGTGAAACGGCACTAAGACTATCATTTATTTTCAGAAACTTGCACAAACAGTGTAAAGTAAGCAAATCTAGATTGTAGATTAAATTACACCAAACTAAACATAGTAACTGAAAAATACAATCATTAGTAGGTAACAATATACAAAAAATGTAACAGGGTTTTCTAATTATTTAAAGGATCATAGAAACTTTTAAAATAGCTGGGAATTATGTTGCTGTTTACCAAACTATTTAAATCTCAAACTTTATTTTCTGAGAGTAGTATTTTTTTAGTATACGCAGGTTTCAAAGCGATATTAGTTGCTTTTATATTCTCTGCTGAATGCCTTTTCTTTCCTGTAAACTGAACTTGACTCCATTCTAATTGTTTATAGCTATTCTTGTAGTAAAACGTATTACTTTCTTTTTCAAATTGAAGTATTTTAACCTCACTCAATTTGAAGATATTTCCGTCTACGTCTTTTGCCATGTCAGGTGCCATCTCATCATGCAACGCCTTAATGTTCTTAAAATCTGCAAAACCCATTTCTGTGACAAGCAGAGGCTCTCTTTTCTTTTTCGCTTGTCGGATAATGGTTACATATTGGTCAGGTACGTAAATCGGCCCAGACCTCTTCGCACTCTTTAATGACTTTTCTATGATGCTATAAATTGCGTCACCTTCATTTTGCGTGTGACCACGAATTAAGTACTTGTGTGAAATATACTGAATGTTAAGCTGCTGAACCGCATACAAATACATCGCTATCGCGAATCTACAACAGAAACAATAAAAAAAATTATTAAATTCTTCGGCAATTTTTTTTGTGCTTCGAACCTGTTTTTCTGTTGTCCCCCGCAATTATCAGAATAGAATACAACTTTGGCCCCAGGTATGTTATTTGACAACTCTTCAAGGTAGAGTAGCACGCAAGTTGCTATTTCATTCACACCTCTGTGCGCGTACTTCTAAAAAAACGTAAAATACGGTCCAATGTTTTAAGATAGGCGCTAAAATTCACTAGAGAGGAGCCTTAATAGTATCCCTGCTATCGACTAATTCATAGATGGTCAGATAATGACATATTTTGCTGACTGCTGCTGATTTTCTCTTTTCTGAGATTTTAACCACTGAAAAATATGTGAGTGTTTAGTCAATATTTGATTAAAATTAATCAGATGTTTAAATCACCTCTCAAAATTAATGACGTTTAATCTGGACCTCCCTGTAAATGTTAATGTATAGTACAAGTCCGGTCGCTAAATTTTCATTTTTTAAACTGATCACTGACATAATTTTCAGTGGTTAAAATCCCAGAAAAGAGAAAATCATTCAGCAAAATCTGTCATTATCTGACGGTCTATCAGTTTGACAATGACGTTAACAACAGTTATGAAGTAAATAAAGCTTATTAACAGGTTCAATAACGACGAAGTACAATTAGGTCACAAAATTGAAATAAGACCCTCAATAAACAATGACACAAAGTACACTTACGTCGTTGTTGCACTGGAATCTTGATCGAAGTGGTTCAAATTGCTCCAAATCCTCCAATTGCGTCGTTGTTCCACTGGACACTAACACAGACTCACTAACGTCAAGGACTGAACTGAATCATGTGGCACTGTTCTCCCGAAACTACGCCACAAACATCCAATATTTCTACAACGACGTAACTTCCTCTAGCGGCCATAAGAGCAACTACATTTGCGTCGTTGTTCTCCCATGTGTGTTACATATTTTTGAGAACAGGGAGACGTATTTAACTGCAATTATCATATTTTTGCAGTTACGTCATTGTTCTTCTGAAACGACGATATATATATATATATATATATATATACAATACTCCAATATTTGGGTGTGCAGCGGAAGATGGGACAAAGAAGTACTCTTTTTAGTTAACCAAGCTTTCGCAAATCTTTATTTGCATCATCAGGGTGCTACAATAAACAGAATTAGTATACATTACAGAGTAAGACTTACTTTGCCTCTTACACTAATTGAGGTGAGTTGTCTTGATGTTTATTAAATGAAACTGGTAACTCATTTGACCCCTACAACTATGGCGAAAACTATCCAAAACTTGATTTAAAACGTTCTTTAACATACATAAAACACTTAGAACACACATACATAAACATTTAAATAAAATTATGTTAAAATAGTTACAAAACATGTACGTAGTCACAATATAAAATTTTGGTTATAAATATTCTTATCAGAAACAAAAGAATTGCTTGTGAATTCGTTGCTACCAACTTAAAACGACAGAACGTCAGATCTTAAATGATAACGATGTAAAGGTGATAGTATATCTGATAGAAGCTGAACTTATTGAAAAAGAAAAGATGAAAAGACTTATTTTAGAAATAGGAGAGATATTGTATATCTCATATATAATTAAACTTATATTGTTGACGATGAATTGTCTGTATTAGTAGATTCATGTTTATCTAAAGTTAACAATAGTGAATATAAGTTGCTTAAATTCTTGGTATCTGTCTTTTTATTAATGGTTTCTTTTTCTTGAAAAATGAAAGTCGTCTCGAGAAACAATCTTTTTGAATAATTGCTCTCCGTGGATAGGATTTTTACATTTGAAAAATCGAAAGAGTGTCCTGTTGTGTTAACATGTGTGGCTAGGGAACGTCTATCAGGGTGTAACCTAATGTCACTCTTGTGAAGAGTTAAACGGCTGGAAACTTTTTGGGAGGTGTGACCTATATAAGAACATTCACAGCCTAAACAGTTAAGTTTGTAGACCACATCACTTTTATCTAAGTTTGGTACTTTATCTTTCAATGACTTATACAGAGATCCCACAACTAGAGTGCTTTTATAAGCAATTTTTACATTTGGTAGGTATTGACCAAAAATTCTGGTCAATTTGGGAGTGACGTCCTTAATAAATGGAAGTGATGCAAAAGATATATTAGGAATATTGTTAGTCAGTGAGTGGGAAACAGAGGTAATTTTCATATCACCTGTATTTTGGGAAAGGTTTACTTGTGTGCTGAGTATAACAGAGGATGTGTTAAAGATGATTTTCCTAAGTAAGGATTCGGGGTAAGAATTATCTAGGAACAACTGTAAAAGGATGTTGAGATTCTTCTTTCTAAAAATAGGGTCAGCTAGTTTACAAACGTTTACAAATGTGGACGAAATTATACTGTCCGGCGAGGCAGTGCGTCCTTACCGTCTGACCGTCTGACGCTAGTCTATTCATCACCTAGGCACGGATCGTCCGACACCGTGTGGTCGCGGATTTTTATAGAGGTTTAGTCCTCTGAGCGGTTATGTCGTTTTATGACACTGATACACGGCAACGTCGCCTCCCGTTGTCAGACGCGGTAACACCTGACAACTACTGACCGTCTTCATTGAGTTCTGTTTAATGAAAAGTCCAAAAGACGAAGCACAAGAGTGTGGAGTAGGTTGAAGCAAAGTGGAATGTCAAGGACCCAAGTCATCAAAGGGCGATGAACTTAGGATAGTTGGATGGCCGGAAATGGGTCCGGGTGCACAAAGTCCGGGCCTAGTTCCGCTCACCCTCAGCTTTTCCTATCCTGTCCCGTCTCGCTCGCCTCACAACAAGAGAACGATTTAGGTTATTTAAAAACTTTTTGAAAAATAATTTAGGCCCATTTAAAATCTTTTTGACTTTTGATTTCTGCAGATGAACAGTCATCAAAATTTGACTTAATTGTTTCTTTCGTATTAGTATTGTTTCTAAACAGTTATTATATTTTATTTATACTTTTCCAGATCCCAATGATATGGATCGACCTGGCCAGACAGGATACATGGTATTAAACGAAGAAGGAGCAGTATTATCTTCGTCGGGAGATCTAGAAAATGATGAAAAGTTCGCCAACTCTATAATGGGATTATTGAATATTTCTTCTCACATAGACTTAAACGACACACCAAAAGAAGGTTTCAAAAAACTCTCGATAGTATACGAAGATCATTGTTATATTGTTTGCCTGTCTAATAGAAAATATCACATAATTAAAAGGAAAACGCCTCATTTCTGAGTCGATTTCAAATAAAATGAATGTTATACTATACTTAACGAAGATGAAATTTATGCAGATGATTATTCTTATTGGTGGTATATTGTATTCCTTGTTTCAACTTTACAATATAGTACATAGCATGTAAGTTTATCATTAGAGCAGCAATTATTCCTGTAGTGTTTTTTTTTATTTTATTGTACAAATATAGAACAAAATTTTCTATTCTAATTTTATTAAAATTCATATTTATGTTTTCCTAAACGGCACTCGAATAAATATCTATGTTTCCATCTATTTTATATTCAGAAAATCGTTTTTAATGACAAATCAAACTTTCTGATATTGTTTGAAAGAGTTTTTTACTAAAAGTTCTACATTTTTTATCTAGATGTTTTTAAAAGCCAATGATTGTTAGAAGTGAATAATTTTATAAGTTACTTTTACATGCCCCAATGATAGATAATTTGTTAATAATTAAGGAAATAAATCTGAAAAGATAATGGTTTTACGCGAGAATTTCGTTAATTTATTTTTATTTTATATGTATATAATATGTATATAATTGGCAGTCACAATTCTATCGGCTATAATTTGATTGTTTAAACATCGTTATCACGTTCTTAATTTTTCATGACTAGATACTCTAGTCTATTTGTTGTGTCTAGTTTTCTTCTGATATAATTCGCCCTGGTTAAGGCTGAATGGCGGTGTATGGTGAGTCATCTACGAACTATATTAAAGCTAAAACAACGCAACAAAGTGTTCAAATTTTCCAATGTGCTGATAAGTTGATTATAAAAGAAATGTAACAAATATAAAATTTGATTATAAAATGAAGGAAAACGATAAAATATGATGTTTGACATTTTTCAGATTTTTAAATGTTGCATTCTTTTAGTTTTAATATAGTTAGTAGACAACTCACCACGCACCCGCCACTCCTCCTTAACAGGGCGAAAATAGATCCTTTGGTTAGGTTCTCTTTAAGCTTTCAAGCTTTGTTGCTGCATAGATAATATATTTAATGGATAATACATTTAGATCATGATAGCATTACACACCAACAGATCTTTATAGAAGGTTAACTTTTAGTCACAAAAGTGTGTCAGGAGTCAGTAATAATAATGAAATTACCGTATACTAATGAGTAATGATACATTGAAAGAAGGGAAATATCGCAATCTTGGAGTTTTAGTTACAATAAATCACTGGGCGTTTTCCTATTCATCTCACGGACTGTAGTCATATTCAGCATTAGGTTTCTTATGAGTTGATTGAGATGCCACGACATATTTCATATTATGTGTCCTAGTTGTTTTTTCTTAGTTTCACAGATTAGTTTTTTATCTAAATAAATTCAGAGATATTTACTTCTTTTTTGCGCAAAAATATAATTTTCGAGGTCAGTCTTTTGTGTGATATAAGTTAATAATGTTCTTAAAATCTTAATGTCTGTTAAGTATGTCTTCTAATTACTAACATTTAAGGGGTAGGTATTAACTTTTTTTGGCAAACATGATTTTTTCTGTTCAGTCTTTTGTGGGATGTACCTAAGTTTGAATTGGTTTACTAATTATCTTATAATCTTGACGGCTGATGTATCTCTTGTGACTGCTTTTTTACCTGATAGAATTATTTTTGTCTTCTACAATTCTACACTTGTTTGATTATTAAAACACTACAAAACTTATAAAATTATAAACGACAATATTTGTTACTAATAATATTATTACATAAAGAAAGTATACTTGTGAAGAATTTGTTGTCGAATTGTCATGTAGGGTTGAGTTTACCGAAAGTACAAGCTGAACATAGCCGCAAATGTTTTTATAATGCATATTTGTCTGCTTCAAATATAAAGGGATAAAGCTTTTAAAAAGTACATATTGATTATACTATTTTATGAATTCTGCAAGTTTTAATTTATATGAAGCAATAACGAGTAGATATTTGTCTCTTTCGAGATTAATTGCAAACATCTGTTGTAATCTGGCAACTGCTGATTTGACGATTGCCAAATCTATCCCCTAGTCTATCAAAAGGTAATTGCTAAAAAAATTTTTAATAATTAACTTCAATTAATCTCCACAGAAAAAAATATTTACTTATTGTTGTTTTATATAAATAAAAAATTGCAGAATTTATGATATAATATAAAGAAAAAGTACTTTTCTAAAACTTTATCTTTTTTTATATTTGAAGCATATACACTATAAAGACCTGTCAACACTGCTATATCGAAATTTTTTGTTCCATGTTTGACATTTGCGGCTATCATCAGCTTGTACTTTCGGTAAACTCAACCTCATGTAGACTTTCAATGTTTTGTTCAACCAGAGTGGATTTGAAGTATCTTTACTTTTAAACACATCAGAATTCGGCTTTCTAAACAAAGGTCTTTACTTAAGCTTTAGAGTTTTTTCAGTTTATAGAAAATATTCTTATATGACCACTGGCTTATCATGATGAAATTTTTAGATCAAGATCTAGTTTTATAGTTAGAAAAAATGTGTGTAACTATCTGCTTGAACAGGTTCATGTCTGAACATAAACATAACTCTAATATGTATGATAAATATAGAAAAATAAATTTTATTTTTATAAATTTCAAAAATCTGTAGATGGAAATAAATGTTTTTATTACAGGAGCTACATTCTACTGATATTAATCTAGTATGGTTGTACAATGCCAATAATTAAAATACATATTTATCCTGTCGAAAGAAATATTTACTAAGCCATAAAATGTACATTCCAAATAGTTTTGTACACTTTAAATTAAATGTGTTTAATTAATACTGATCATGTTATTTATTTATAATTTAAACATAACGTGTGCAATAATAACACAAAACATAAAAATACGCTGTTTTTAATTTTCACGAAATGGACTACCAAACAATTTTCAATTTGTGTGTATTTGTCCCATAAGAAGTTGGAAATAATGTTTTTTTTTAATTGTATGCAGAATAAATAAGCACTTTTCGTTATAAAAATTCATTCTGTGCGATTGGTATTATTTATGGTTCGTGAATTTGTGAGGTAAGCGTATCAAAGTATGAAGATATTTACTATGAAAGTTCATATTTTAAGGTTATATTATTGTATGATTAAAACTTTAATTATTTTTTACTGTATTTCAAGGTATTTTTTTTATCAGGGTTATTTTAAAATAAATCATTAAATGTATTTACGAAATTAAAAAATATTTAAATTAATGTTTTAATCTTTTTTAAGAGCTAGTGATTATATCCCCTAAAAAACTAAATATATTCTCGTAGTTTAAATAGTTAATAGTAGTTTTGTTGTCATTACTGAAACATTCAGTAATACTAAATATTTTCAACATATGTTTACTAGCCATTATATGGCCAGATCTAAAAAATAAACTCAAAAACTATTACATTTTTATAATTTGATAGAAAGGTTTCCACAGAATGTTATATTACAACTTAAAATACAAGAAAACGAATATATTTAGTATTTAACAGGATAAAATTACTGGTAACGAAAAAAGAATAAAACATGAATGTAAATATTTTTTAACTTCGTAAATAAATTCAATGATTTATTTTAAAATAACCCTGATAAAAACAACAAAGTACCTTGAAATATAGTAAAAAAATAATTAAATTTTTAATCATACAATAATATAAGCTTAAAATTTGAACTTCTTATGGGACAAATACACACAAATTAAAAATGATTGGAAAGGTTTTTGAAATCCCCGCCCGTTGTGACGTCAGGTTTAGGTATTTCATATCGTCAATTTGACATGTTTCGTTGTACAACAGTTGTTCAAAATTTCTCTTCTTAGGAAGCTGCCACTAAGCGAAACATGTAGACATTCTGTTGAACCGTGAAAAAAAAACCTAGAAAAACCGTGTTGGTTTTTTATGTTTTGTTTTATTGTTGAACATGCATTTCCATCAAAAACCACCAACTCCCCAAGATTAGTAGATATTTAAGTAAGATACCTTACTAAATATCTACTAACCTTGCCAATTCCCGACTTGCGTCAACAGTGTGTGTGTGTGTGTGTGTGTGTGTGTGTGTGTGTGTGTGTGTGTGTGTGTGTGTGTGTGTGTGTGTGTGTGTGTGTGTGTGTGTGTGTGTGTTTGTGTGCGTGTGAGTGAGTAAAAACTATTTCGTTTCAACGAAAAGTCGAAAAGTGACAGTTATAAATCAGAAAAAATATTATCAGCAAACGAAATTGAGAAATGTAAAAGTAAATTCAACCGAAAATCGCGAGCAAAACTCAAAAATTATAAGCCAACATCCATAAGTAGTGTAAGCAGCAGTAAAAGCGGGATGTGGCACTCCGTGAGAGAGCGAGAAAGGGAAAGCATAGCTTTCTTATTGTACGGAGCGGTAGTTTTAATTTAATTTATCCGATTCGATACAAATCGATTCAACGCTATTCAATTCCAATCAATTCGGTTATAATTTATTTCAATCGATTCAATTCCTTCTTCCTGTGTCCTGCTCGATTATCGTGCTATCAAATTGGCTATACTAATTTTATTGACGGCAGCTCGGAAAAGGGATGCAGAGGATCTGTTAAACCATTCCCTCAGGTTTTTAAGCCATAACATTCTTCGACCCGGCATTCTTCTTTAATCTATCTTGCCTTGTATTATTAGTCCCCTTCAAAATCGATTTGATTTCAATTCAATCCCATTCGATTTGATTCCAATCGACTTTATTTGATCCTAACCGATTCGACTACAATCGATTTGATTCCATTTCAATCGATTTGATTCCATTTGATGCGATTCCAACAGATTCTTTTTTTTTATTACATTCGATACGATTCGACTCCAATCGATTTTATTAATAAACGCACATGGAACTGCGTTTAACTCCACGTAGAGTGTGGTCACGCGACATGTCGCTACAGCCGTCACACTAGGTTTTATTTTTTTCACATCTCTGTGCAATCCACCGCGGTGCACCGCTCCATCCATAGCTCGCGATAAGAAAGCTATGCTTCCAAAAGGTAAGTGGACATTTCAACTTAATTGATAGATAAGGAACGGTAAGGCCACGACCGAACAGCGACATTGCTAGATTGTCAATTAAATCCACAGTAGTGAACTGTTTTTATAAGTCTAATTTATTTACTTTGTTTCCCTTATTCCAAATCACTAAAACACAATAGGTTATATCAATTTATTATACCACTTATTCGATACAATTTATTTTCGACTAACTAACTCCAATAAA